TGTGCTTCGTGTCCCAAAACTGCTATCTCTGCGAATTCATTTCTAACTGGTACGATTTTCTCGATGGCGATTACGGCGAATATTAGACAGACTCAGTTTCTTAAAATTTCCTTATCAATTTAGCCACATACTTATCGCTAATATTTTGTAACGCACTAAACAACCGGGTAGTAGCTCTTGCAATGCTCCCATTTTTTTAATACGGTTTTGTTATTTCTACCCTTTCTTAAATTGAATAACTGATTATTCAATATTAATCACAACTAAGTATTATACAGGGTGTTAATAAAGTATGTAGACAAACTTTAACTATTGAATCCTTGGTCAATTTGAAGACGAAATTTCCATATGAACATGGAACGTATTTTATTTTAATTAAGTATGCCTTGTGGTGAATATCACATGATTTACAGTTGTTTTCAGTACATCCATGTACGTAAATACGGATAATGTTATCCAGTATTTAAAAGAAAATAGCATGACACTGATCTGTTTTGATCGCAATACTTTTGATATTTAACCTATGATATACCCGAAAACAATTGAATTAATTTAGTTTCTCAAACAATTCGACAGCTGTCATATATTTGTTTTTTTGTCTGGTCATTCTAAGACTCCAAATATTTCTAAATTTTGGTGATTACTAATTGTCATAGTGGTACAGTTCAGTAATCAAGAAATGACAGATATGTATTTCGTTTACGGAATGGCTCTGGGTAATGCTCGACGAGCACGACGTTTGTATGGTGATCGATTTCCACAACGCCTGCTGCCTAATGTACAAACTTTCATCATCATTCACGTTCGACTATGAGAAACAGGCAGTTTCAAGAGACCTACACCTATTGCAGGAAGACCCTAGTGTAAGAATCATCCAAATCGAAGAAGCTGTGCTGAATAAAATCGAAGAGGACCCTACAACAAGTACACGAAAAATCGCGCACCAGCTAAATTTAAATAACGTAACGGTATGGCAAATTTTGAAAGATAAGCAACTTTATCCATATCATATACAACGTGTACAAGCCCTTTGGCCTTCAAATTTGCCATACGAGTTGTTTTTTGCAACTGGTTACGTGAAAAAGTAATTATATCAAATTTTCTGAAGGCTGAAGCATGTTTTTCGCGGACAGCAATAATAAATTTCCATAATAACCATGTATGTTGTGAAAAAAATCCCCAAGCCATAACTGAATATAATACGCAACACGACTTTTCCTTCAATATTTGGGTTGGAATCGTTAGCGACCACTTGATTGGCCCTCATTTCCTTCCCCCCAGACTAAGACTACCGAATATTTATGGAATTTGACCTACCTAGATTAATGGAGGAAACTCCTCTTAGGGAACAATGTCGCATGAGGTACATGCATGACGGTGCTCCTAGATAATAGTTATCCAAATCGATTGGAAGAGGCGGACCACAGCCATGGCCGCCTAGATCGCCTGACATAAATTCTATAGATTTCTTTTTATGACGACATTTGAAATCATTAGTATACAATTCTCTGTTCAAAGCGTGGAGGACTTAAGAGACAGAATTGTTGAGTCATGTCTGACTATACAAAATACTCCGGGTACTTTCAGGAGAGTTCGTCAGTCAATGTATAACAGACTAGACGCCTGTATTGAAGTCAAAGGTGGCCACTATGAACATTTATTTTAAAAAACTATTCCATATTTTCTATCGTTAGCATTCTATTCGAATGTTATTGTTCAAAACTATTGACCTAAATAATTTTTTTCCAAAAATACAGGATAATACTAATTTCATCCTCGTTCATATTGAGCCTCAGCAACTTGTAAAAAATGCAAAATTTGTCATAGGTTATACCAACTGTTCAATAAATACGTTTCATTATTCGACGAAATATTTGGAACATTACTCGTATTTCTTTAGTGATAGTGCTCTAGCCGTGTTCATATGAACATCTTCAAATTGACCAAGGATTCGATGGTTAAAGTTTGTCTACATACTTTATTAACACCCTGTATATTATTATCATTATCATCTTTATTATATTCTTTAGACTTTCATAAGTAGGTCCCTTCTTGTTTAAAAAATTAATATTCAAGTCCCCCATAAATATGACATCACCAACTTGAAGGTAGAATTTTTCAATTACTCTACCGATGGATCACGGTGATGGCAGGTACGTGGTACAATAAAGAGAAATTAAAACATGAGATCTGTAAATTAAATGATATTTTTTTTAATATCTTAATCGAATATAATTACAGTCTTATATTGTCACCTTCAAAACAACTTCATTCTGAAGCTACTCTCATAGCAGTGGTGGAACTCCGACACTGGAATAACCTTCAGCTGCTCGGTTACAGCCGTTTGAATGTTTTCGACTGTGCCAAAATGAGTTAGGTCATTTTTCAACTTCAAGAATCGAAAAAAGTCACAAGGACCCAAGTCAGGCGAATAAGATGACTGAGTCAAATTCACTTTTCTCCAATCACTCCGACTGTCAACCGACGATCTGAACGCATAAGGTCCCAGATTCTGTCGATATTTTCATTGGTTCTTGAAGACGAAGGCCTTCCGCTTCATCTTCAATCGACTCTCTCGCTTCTGAAAATTTCTAAAACCACCGAAAAACCTAGACTCTTGGCAAAACACTATCTTCGTAGGCCTGCTGAAGCTTAACAAGCCGTTGCTCGAAATTAATTGATGCCACCCATGTTTAGAACACAATAGGAAAAACTGTTTCACAAAAAAATCGCTACGGAGAACCAAATGACTCGAGCGAGTTCAAACTTGTGCTGAAGGCGGGTCACAAGTCCACTCCAGGCACCTAATCTTGCCAGTTCGAACGCTACGTTGCCAGTCTCATTACTCAATTTACAAACGTCGTATATTTGCTTATAGGGTGACTTTGAAGTTGAGTCATTAATTTTCAGATAATAATTGTAGAAGGAAGATAATTCAAAATATGTGTGTAAAAATAAAAAAAAAATTAAAAAAAATGTTACCTTGTTTTATAAAGTATCCTCCCGACAAGTATTTCAGTGCGGGCCTATCCGCCCAAAAGCATGTCACAAAAACTGTTCGAAATGATTTCCGTTTTGCTCGACGCAGAGCTGGGGGCGTCTTAGCCATGTCTCTTTACAAGCACGCAATAAAATCACTGGTTGATTTCTGATCACTGTACTCATTTTCTCAATTCGGCCACGTAATTCTTCGCGGGTATTAACCGGTGTTTTATACACTTGAGATTTTAGCCAACCCCGCAAACAAAAGTCTACAGGATTTAAGTCCGGAGACCTTGGCGGCCAAGGTACAAAACCGCCACGGCCGATCCAACGATTACTAAATTGTTTATTTAAAAATTCACGCACATTTCTTGCATAATGGAGGGGTACCCCATCTTGTAAAAACCACATGTTTTGTCTAATATTTAAAGGCACATCTTCCAGTAAACCAGGCAAATTGTGTTGCAAGAAATCAAGATAATTTTCACCAGTTAAGCGATTTGGTAATTCAAAAGGCCCCACTAAAATTCCATTAACAATTCCAGCCCACAGGTTGATTGGTTCAAATCGCTGTTGAAAATTAGTTTTCCTTATTTCATGGGGATTTTCAATAGCCCAAACGTGAGAATTACGTGAATAATAATAAATCATTTACTAAAATTTGTTCATCTAGTTCTATTTGATCGTGCGGTCTTGGAACACCGGCATGCCCTGTGAGGTCTTAAGTCACCTGATTCACGAGCCCTTTGTACCACATTAACAAAAGCACGAGGGGTTGGTTGCACTCGATTGGGAAACCGATCCGCATAAATCCGTGATGCCGCGGCAGCATTTTGTAAATAAGAATCATGTCCACAAGTTCAGCATTTTCGTAAACATGTGCCATTTTTTATTTCGTTTGAGCCACGCAACAAACACCAATATTCACTCACGCGTTACCGACTGACACATTGACTGAATACAACTGAATAAAATTGTAGTAAAAACATCGTGATAAGCGTTTTAAATTCTTTCGCTTTTTTGTTTCCGATGCGATGAACCGATAAGAAGGATCATATCCGTTGTTGCCAAACACGAGCACATAATATTATCGAGACAGGGCGGTACTCAAACCTCTAAAGAGCTATAACTTTGTTACTTTAATTTTACCAGAAAAATGTTATAGGAAAAAAACGTTTCTTTTGATCAGATCTACTCACTGCTAAAATAAATGACTCAACTTCGAACCCTGGAGTTCTATATCCTTCCTCCTGAGGTAGTCGAGGCATTATTGGAAATAAATGGCTTTGTATTATACTGTACCATAGATCTTGCTTCTAGAATTAAGTACACTCGTAATGGAAACGCATGCTTCAAGAATATCGGACCGAAACCAACATTACCCTAAATATAACGTAAACTACGTTGTACAATGGAATTCGACGCATTTCCGACCTGATTATCGGTTTACCTTCTAACAGAGTTTATTGTGTTTGAAAATGATTACTGTATCGATCACACGCGTAGATAATCTTCATTACAGACAGGCGGGAATTGGACACTGGTGTGCTCGGAAATGTGACTGCTGTCGCATTCCCGGATTCTGCGAAATCCCATCGCGTTATATAACAAAAACAGATTGCAGCTGAGGTTTTCGTTCCATTCAACAGTCTGTGACGAAACTCTGTTTAGTTTGGTTTGCTCACCTTTAAAAATGTCAGGACGACCGAATTTCTAACATTTTATGCATATTCGACGTAATACATTCCTTTCCCTTCAAATGATACCACGTAAAACACGTTTACTGTTAAAACAACATCAGTCAAGTAAATTACGTTGTTTCTGCATGTATTACTCTGTAACAGTTGCCTTTTATTGCCGACGAATCATATATTTTTTGTTGTTGTTGTTGTTGTCGCACAGGTTTAATTTGAAGTAATGCAGCAAGAACTTGAGAAGGAAGAAACAAAACCCGATAATATAATCTAATAATCTCCGTAGCATATTATTTTTATTCATAGCATATTATTAAATGAATTTTATTGACAAAAATGACTAGACCGGCCCATTGGCCATTTCCCAAGTTTATTTGAAATAACAGACATAACACATGAATACCACGGAATAACTATAATTTTTAATTTGTATCCGTTGTTTTTCTTCTGTAGTCGTTTGGCTGCCTGTATATAGTAGTCAGCATCTTCCATGTCACTGAACAATTTTGGAACTGAAACCAAATATTTCTCAATCAGTTAAACATAATCCATCCTGATCTATTTTATAATCCAAAAATTTCAATTATTAAATTTAACGTACAGCAATCGCACTCCATTTTGATCATCTTTACAGTTTCTACCACTAAGTTTATAAATGTGTAGTCAATTTTCCATGCATTCAGGTAATTAATTGAAGAATTTACTTACCCTGATATGGACAATTTCTTCTTGTGTTGCCTAGTAATTTCCCTGGTTCACCATGAGTAATAATTTTAGTATTCATCTCCACATATTTTCATAAATAACTCGGTTGCTTCCATCCCATGCTAGATCTTCCACCGTCAAGAAATCAATTCAATCTCGAAATTTTCGCCACGGGGATTTGTTTACATCCCAACAACAATCCGGTTTGTCACTCCGGAGCTAAAAATAAATAAATAAATGTACATCTATAAATTGATATCACCTTCTGAATTAAAAACTATTTGTGTTGCACACCTCGCTTGTTCCGCATAGTTGCCAATTTTATTTCAGAATTTCCTTATATTTATTAATCAATCAAATTTATATGCAGATATGACAGTGTTGCCACATTTATTCACGATATTTACTTGAATTTATATTAGGAACCTTCTCATTTTGGGATTAGCCGACAACGTTTGGCTCTTAATGGTCAGGCGTTCAACTATATTTGGAAATGTCAAGTCAAAAAAATTAAATTTTGGGAGGGGACTTCCTTCCACTATCGGAGGGCGATCTTGTTCTGTTCTGCTAGTGCGAGAAGACCTGAAATTTTCCTCCTTTTTTTGCCTGGGGCATCTTCGCTGGATTATGGAAGAAAATTTCATAGATAATTTCCTGGGTCATTCCTGTTGTGAGTGCGTAGCATCTTTTTTTTGTCTACCCCTGGACCCGAAAAATTCTACAATTTGTAGGATCTTATTGTCTTCAGCCACACTTTTTGCCAGATGGAACCACGTGAAAAACCCTACCCGACATCATCTAGGGTTTTTTTTTATTTTGAGGGAATCTTCGCTACTGGAGATCCATTGACACGTTTCCTACCGGGGACCTCTTTCCGAATAGAGACCCTTTTTCCACCATAGGGATTCTTACGTCATCGGTTTTAAAGCCTTCCTCGCCCATTTTAAATTAGTTAGTCAATAAGCTTTCGCATTAAGGGAGATCTCCTAGTTTGGCTGGCTTAAATTTTTGTTGTTAGTCGTTAGTATATGTAATGAAATGTATTGATGTTAATTTTAGCAATTATTTACCCACACAGAAAATCTATTGTTTGTATGTATTTTTGGTTTTGTTTCTTGGGGTTTTGTGCTAAAGAGTGTCTTTCAACACCAAGGCGTCTTCCAGTTTTGGCGGATAAAAGCTGGTGGCGCCCCTAAAAAAATACCCCCCTACTCTCCGATGTACCTGAGCATAGGGCCTAATTTGCCAACGCTAAACCACGGCTTTAGCCTCAGTAACCCTCTAGTTTTTTTAATCATCTCAATTGAGAGAAATAACTTTAGCTCAAAATTAAAAAGTGATTTTAATTAATTAAAAAAAAAAAGAGCGTGGCAACTCAATGGCGGGTACGTGAATGGGTCATTTCAAGAACGGCACTACGATTCTTGATTCGCTTTCTTTTTATAATTTGTCGACAGTTTCTAGTTAAAAATGGCATGGTTCCGCTGCCTCACACACCTTATTCGCCTGACCTGGCTCCGTGCGACTTTTTATTATTTCACGGATGAAAAGGGGCTTGAGAGGACGCCGCTTTGACGACATTGAAGAGGTCAAGAAAAAAATGAAGGAGGAACTATCAGACATTTCTAAGGAATACTTCACAAAATATTTCCAGCAGTGGAAGTACCGGTGGGACAAGTGTGTTAGTTGTAGAGGACAGTATGCTGAAGGAGATAAGGAAACTATGTGAAAAAGTTGAAAATGAATAGCTTTTAAAAAATTAATACCGTTTTTTTCTGGGTATCCCTCGTATATAGCAAAGTTGCTTAGCTACCTGTTTTGCAACTATGCAACACTTCAGCACGAATTCCATCAGTTCTACTTCTTCCTCGCGCGTTTCTTAGAGGAAAAATGGTCGGCAGATTGTAATTTTACTAAAGTTAGTACGTGCTTGTTGATTTTTTATATAATCAGCTAGGGTTTCACCAACACTGCTATAGTACTCAATAAAATTGTTAGCCATTTTTTTAATGTTATTTGTTATGTTTCGTTGAAGTGTTTTCATTTCTTTCATAGATTCTTTTGTAGTGCCGGCCGTTGTGAATTCTCTTACAGTTTTCCATAACGATCTGTTAGTTTTTACACAATATTGTCTTTTAGCCTTTTCTATGGAATTCTGCAGTTCATTTTGTCTTTTTATAATTTATGATGTTTTCTGCAGTTGGATTCTGTTTCATTGATTTGTAAAGATTACTCATTTGTCATTTTTAGAATTTTGTTTGTTAGCCATGGATTTCTTTTTACCTCACTTTCAATTTGAATGTGTTTGTGCTTATATGTATCAATGATTTGATTTTTGCCACAAACATGTCTACGGCCTTTTCTAATATCTTGCAAAAATATATATCTGTCCACTGCTCTAAGTTTATATTGCTTATTATTTTATTTTTGTCAAGATATTGTTTAATTTTTGATTATGTTCACTTGATAAAATCTGAAGTATTGTGGGATAATGATCCATAATATTTTCTTCTATCAAAATAGGCTGAAACTCAAGATTTTCATTGATTTTTTTGACAAAAGCATGGTCGACACAACCTTTTGATTCCTCTTGAATGCGAGTATGTGCATTTATATATGATTCAAAACCATGAGCTCCTAGGACATTTAAATATTGTTGTGAAATTTCTGTATTTCGTAGCATGTCTTTATTCATGTCTCCAATCGGAATGTGTACTCCGCATCTATCAATGTCAAGGTAGTCACATGAGTCATCGACGTAGGTTTTTGAACAAGCTGATGGTGGTCGATACAGGGTGGCCCATCCATGCGTGGCTAGAATATGACTCATAAGCAAATACATTTTGGGAAAATATATACATGAAACTTGAGGGCACATTTCTAAAATATTGGCAATTATACAGGGTGTGCCAATTTTGTTTTATATATCAAAGTTGTGATTTTTTAAATAGAATGCCTCAAATTTTATTGCATATTTGGATAAACCAATTCAATAGAATAACATTTATATAACATACTAGGGGGTTTTGGTAATTAGCTACTGAGATATAAAGTGTTTTGTCTAGAAAAACCCCCCACTTCGGCAACCCCTCAGTCCTCCATTTTGAAATTTGGAGTACTGAATCTTGTATCAACAAGCACTTACACGCCTCAGCTTTTATCTTATATAATACTTTTTCGAATTTTAATTTTTGCTCATACAGGGTGATCAAAAACGCAAATTGTGTTTTTTCTCAGAAATTTAAAATGCACCACCCTGTATAATTGTATCAGTCTGGATCGAATTTTTTATAAGCTTTTTTTGATACTAGACACATAAGGGTCTTTACGGCTATTTTTTCGGTTATTAGCACGTGTTTTATGGAACGGTTTAATTTCCTAAAATATCGCATCATCCTTGGAAACAAATAAATTGTTCATTAGTTACAAACTGTCAAAATTAGCTTTGTCAGCATTATAGTAAAAACGTGTTCGAAAATGGATTTTTCTAAAGAAGAAATGGTGAATATATGGTGTTCGTTTTGGGCGAAGCATCTCGCATTTATAAGCAACGGTACCATAATATGCGACATCCAAGGCCAGAAACATTTTCCCCACTACGAGAATGTTTTGAGTCAAGTGCAGCTGTGGAATATTGTAAAAAAAATTATAAATAAACCAAGTGTCACCAATGAGGCGAATCAGTTGGAGGTTCTATTAAAGTTGCAGGAAAATCCCCATTTAAGTGCACGCCAAATTGGTGCAGAAACTGATATATGCAGAACTTCTGTTTAAGGGATTATTCACAAGCATAGGTACCATCCATATCACCTATGCTTGCAGCAAGGCCTGCATCCTCAGGATTACGCAGCTCGAATGGAGTTTAGTAGAATAATGCTAAATAAAGTGAGTGAAGACACTACTTTCCTGGATAAGGTTATTTTAGCGATGAGGCAACTTTTAACAGCATTGGTGTTGTAAACAGGCATAACATGCACTACTATTCGACGGAAAACCCTTACTTGGGTAGGCAAAGAGATTTCCAAAATAAATGGAGCTTGAATGTTTGGGGAGGAGTTATTGGCAGACAAGTTATCGGGCCTTTCTTTTTCGACAACAAATTAACAGGTACAGAGTAGTTTAATTTTTTGATCGAGCCTTTGCTTTTGGAGGATGTCAACCTGCAAACTCGGATGCATATGTACCTGCAACATGACGGCGCACCTGAGCATTATCATAATCGTGTTCGTAACTATTTGGACACCTGGAGTAACAATCGTTGGATGGATGCTTTTCTGAACATAAGGGAACAAATGCTGAGGGATGTGCAACGGTCATTTATCGAAAGACTACGGCTGTGTATTCAACATGGTAGAGATATTTTCGAGCAGTTTTTGTAGATTAGGTCTTGAGTAGTGATAGTTGTATGTTTATGTGGTTGTTATAGTTGTTTTTCTCTATTACGCTTGAAGCTGATTTATACTGTTCTGATTGTTATTAGCTTTTACGTCAAATCTGTACTCTTAGTGGCAATATGAAACTAGTCCACTGTTTGTCTTTTGTTTCTTCTGTATCAAACCTTATACCAAAAAAGCTTATCAAAAATTTAATTGCACAAATATACAGGGTGATGTATTTGAAATTTTTGAGAAAAAGTACAATTCGCGTTTTTGACCACCCTGTATGAGCAAAAATGAAGATTCGAAAACGTAACAAATAAGATAAAAGCTGAGGTTTGTAAGTTTTTTAAATACAAAATTCAGTACTCCAAATTTCAAAATGGCGGATTGAGGGGTTGCCGATGTGGATGGTTTTTCTGGACAAAACACCTTACATCTCAGTAGCTAATTACCAAAACCCTATAGTATGTTATATCAATCTTCTTCTTTTGAATTGGTTTATCGAAATATGCAATAAAATTTGATTCATTCTATTTAAAAAATCACAACTTTGATATGTAGGACAAAATTGGGACACCCTGTATAATTGCCAATATTTTAGAAACGTGCCTTTCAAATGTCATGTATAGCATCCCATAGATAGATTTTCCCAAACTGTATTTGTTTATGAGTCATATTCTATCCACGCATGGATGGGCCACCCTGTATATATCTATAATGGTAATACTTTTACAACAAAGCTATCGAGGCCTCTATCGCTTTTATACCAGACATATCTATGATTTTAAGAGTGCAAGTAATCCCTTTTCTAATATACAGCAAGACTTCATCATTTTGATTTAATTTCCCGTGGTTGTATATTTGATTATAATCCTTCATGCCAAATAAAATCGGATTCCCAACATTCTGTCAATATTATTATGTCCATATCTTCGTTTATCTCATGGAACTTAGAGTTTAGTTTTATAATTTGTTTCATCGATAGCCCTAGAAGTTATCCCTCATAATAATATGTGAATCAATGCCGAGGGAGTTAAAAGTAGTCATGAATTCAATATACGCTTGTAGAAGCTCCAGGCATAATTCACTGTTCATTAATTAGCCTGACAGAAATACGTTGCCTCCGAGACAACTAATCATCAAAACATTAAAGTACGTTATCCTCTTATTTTGGAAAGACCCATCTGAATGATGAATTAAGTATGAGAGATCCAGTTTAAAGGAATTTGACAGATTTTGAGATTTTTTAAAACGAGATGTTTTATATTTTAATCAATATTCAGAGAGGTCGTCCCAGGAATTGAATATTGATATAATATACTATAGCGTTTTGACGAGTAAACGATGGGTTACAATTGACTCAATGTACATAAATGGTAACCTATAATAGCCTGCTAGTTTGTCATTTTAAAGGTGGTGATGTTATATTTGTGGGTTATAGAGTGAGATACCACACGTCCCTCCATTCCTGAATCAATTTCACTGCAGCGAATGTCAGCTTGTTAAATTGAAGTAGGGGGAACATTTTTGAAAAGAACTGTATGAACGCATGGTAGAACTATACCCATTTTCAAATAAATAAACGCGTGTCACTTTGCCACTTTCGCGGGGAATTTATCCCTTCCCAACACATTTATCGGTGAATTTTTGGCGC